GCCGGTTAGAATTTTTGGTAAAACAAGTCTCAACATACACAAGTCTTCGCACGCGTAAACTTCTGGGAATCACAGATGTGTTGGGTAGTGAGGAGGCAGCAGACGGACATGTATAACTATCGGCGCAACAACAGAACAAATTGCAAAGCATGTCAAGCTAGGAAGTCTCTAGCTCTGGCTTAGAACGAGGGCATGCACATAAGTGTAGTGGTTAGTGGGAAGGGTAGCATAACAGATCTAGCCCACACACACACACACACACACACACACACACACACACACACACACACACACACACACACACACAAATTATGCCAATAATAGGCATTCGATGCCGGGCCCAGTAAGAGAATTGAGAGGAGGGGGTAAAGGGGGAAAAAAAAAACCGTAAATTACTCCGAATACTTGGACGCCGACAATTTTCTGCGGAAGAATAAGGGTGGGCCGATCTGCCACCTGGGCGTAAATCGTTGTAATACCCTGAAAGAGGACAGTCCAGCTGTATGGCCGAAGGACGAGGAGCCACAGAGCCACATTGTCAAGAGTCATGCACGAATCTCGGAGCAGCAGCCTCACAAGTAGGGTGGAGAACAGACTAAGCGTCGAGGTGGAAGAAGTAAGAGATGGGTCAGGTTGGGTATGAGGAGACTGCAAGATTGGAGGCCACCTCATAGGCGGAAGTAGGGGGAATAGAACACGGGGTATAGGTGCACGACCATAAGGGAGGAAAGAAAAGCTTGGGAAAAGGATAAGGCGAGTAGATGGTAGGCACTTGCAAGATGTTGGCCTCCCACATTCAGTAGAGTAGGCCACATCGCTGCCTTAGAGGAGGGTTGGGGGTGAAGAATAAATGTTGCTGTGGACATTGGACAGGCAGAGGGCACGGGCCCGTGGTTTAGTGACTACCTTGTATCATGCCAAAGTAGAAGATTCGTTGCTTCCCACGAAGATCAAAGAAATTAGAGCATGTCGTGGCGCACAAATACGTTCAAATCCCCAGCCACCAAGGTCATCTTTGTTGAAATCATTCCATCTCCCAAGCCCCAGCTAGAGATTGAATTGGAACTGGTCGTAACTCAAAAGGTGGAAGAAGCGAGGGATGATTTGAGGTTCATCAGGCTTGACTGGCTGACACGCAAATGCCGCCGGTCCTGATTGGGAAGCGGGAAAAGGGAGGGATTTCAATTGAAAACGCGATTAGATGGGAGAGGGGAGGGGAGGGGGGGCAAAGAACGGGGAAGGTGAAGCAGCCGAAACACCAAAGAGGGAGGGGAAGAAAAGAATCCAGAAACCAAAACAATTCATATCTGAAGACCATCCGCTTAGAACCTCCAGCAAACTGAGTCCCGAGATAAAGAGTAAAGACAGCAGCAACAGTCAAGTGAACGTACTCTTGGTGGAGAATATTGAGGGGGGAAGGAAAGGTGCAAAGCCGAAAGGGTGTGTGCAGCTAACAAGTTGAAAAATCGATAAAAAGTGTATCTTCCGGTGTTAAGCACTGGGTTATCTGATACTGGACAGTAACAGGAAGAGGAACGACAGTACTTGCCATTGAACAGTTGGCAGGCTCAGTGTCGGTGAAGGGAAGAAATAATCACGATCATCAAGAAGAGCCCTTGTGTAGACACAATGTAGCCCAAGGACCAAAGCGGAGACTAGGTATGGAGAAGGAACGGCCTTCAAACCAACCAGATTAGCAGAGCCCTAGGCTATCTAACGGATCTTCTGACCGTCAGAGCTCGGAAGGGCAACTCCTGCACGGGGCAGGTGGGTAATGCAGAGAGGGCTGTTCCGAACGGAAATGAAGCAAAGGACGGGGGCCTGTGTATATAGCGGCGAGGGTCTATTCTCTCCCTCTTCCTTGAGGTGGCGCCCCCGGGGGCCGCGACAACGACAAGAGGGGACCGATGAGCCGGGCTACTCTCGCCCTCCACTCGATCAGGCTTCTCCTCAAATGAGCGAGTGAATGAATGGGATGTTTCCTTCTCGCCCTTCCCTCTTGGGATTTGGTGGCTGTGGCTGCCTCCAGTCTAAGGGGGATATCCACAGCTTAAAATCGGGTGCTTCGATTCGGATCGGGCCTTCAACGTTTTAGCAATTCATGCGCGAAACCCAATCAGCTCTCACAGAGGATCGACAAGCTCGATCCTAATACTGTGCATGGCAGGTTTGACTGACACGAGATGTTGCGTCTTATCCTCAGTGGACAGCGGTGTTGAAGGAGCAGAAGAAGCCAGTGTCACCGATTCCGTGACTTACGGAATTCAACGAGAGAAAGCATGAGCAGCAGGATCAATGCCTTTTGTGTTTACGGATGCGGTTTACAGGCTGAGCTGTTTCTTGCCTGCCTGGCTGTCGGTCTGCGCCTTTTCGCACCGTGTATGGCGAAGAACAATCGCAACTGAATTGTAGCGTTGCGGCAGAGATCGATCGAACATAGGAAAATATATATCAAGGAATCAAAAAGAACAATTGCGAAAGCGGGAGAACAGAATGAAGGGTTCGGGCTTGAGGGTCGCAGGCCGTCCGAGAGTACGAAGACCACTCGTTCAATAATCTTCCAAGCCATCATGAAAGATCAACAACGGTCTTGGATGTCAGAACCGAATCAGCCACATCCGATGTTCCGTGGACTGGCTGGAGGACAAGAATAGATAGTCTAGGATCAGCCAGGTACGTAGTGGCTGGAAGGAGTTTGGCATCGATTGCATCGATGGCTTCTCCAACTGTTCGTGATTGGGTACCGCTGTTATGTCCCTGACCCAGTCAGATTATTCGATGGGATTTTTTCCTCCCTCATGACAGCTTGAAGAAGGGCTCGCTCTATTTCCGAGGATTCCATGAGAAATCGAACCCACCCAGGGGGGTCATTTCATCGATCGAGGAGCGTTCCAGAGAGGTGGCAAACCAGGAGTGCGCTCTACACGCATTGGTCAGGGCTTTGAATGGGTCCCCAACCCGAGGCGCATGCGTGGCACTGAACCACAAGGGATGATTGACAGCTGCAGGCAGTTTTTATATCTCCATAGTGAAGGAGATCTACATAGTGACCCAATCCGGTGAGCATTAGTCATGAGTAAGGTCGATGATGATGATGATGATGATGATGATGATGATGATGATGATGATGATGATAATAATGATAATAATAATAATAATATCGCAGCGTTGCCGGATCGATGAGCGCGATGATCTTTGCGTGATTATGGGTATGTGCTCGCAGATGAGTAGTGAGTTGAGTATCATTTGCCCTTATAATGTCGGCATGGAGCATGGCCACAATCGGGTTCGAGTGTGAGGTCGATCGTTTTTGCCGAAAAGGAAAGAAGGTACAGTACTACGGAGTACTTCTTCCCGCTTTGCGCTTTTCTCTCTAGTCTCTACCCATCCCTCCTTCCTTCCTTTCCTCCTCCCCGCCTCCCTTCTCTCGTGGCTCAATTTACCCCGACAGGCTAGTTTGCCACCGACGTTAAAAGAAAGCCGCCTTGAAGTGGGAAATGGGGCCTGAGTAACGAGGTAATTCCCGGCTATGGAACGAATGTCATTCTCGGGTTCCCCTTCATGATTCAAGGCAGAAATTCCTTCTGGTTAATCACGAATATTCAAGTTGGGAACGAAAAGGTCTGGTACAGGATGTCCAGACCTAAAAAAAAGGGGAGGGGCATGGAAAAAAGAGCGAAGGTGGAGATGTCGACAGAGTCCAATGAATGCGATTTGATAATACAGAGATGTTTGACCCATTGAGGTTTGAGACTGGAAAAACTTCAAACGACGAGTTAGGATGGATGGATCTGGACTCCCGCCGCCGCCGCATTACATGCAGCAATCAGCGGAGGAACTCATCGGGTCAAATTCAGAGTCTAGATGTTACCGCGCCGGGGACAAGTTATCAGGTACATTACAAGCTAGTTGAGTGGAGAGAGCACCAGGGCTATGGAGTTTTTATGATTGCATGACTGCCGGAGAAAGGGGCGGGGAGGAGACACATAAAATTCGTGCAGCGTAAATTGTAGTTTGACTAACAAACGGGAAGTAAACTATGTACTCCCTAAGTATCTACTTACATAGTACTCCGTACAATACAAGCCTGGAGGGGAGGGCACAGTACCTAGTCTAGGACCGGTGGTGGCTCCGATGCATTCCCACTAGGGCCCGATCCTTCCTCCAAACCCAGTTCAGAACACAGACGGTCCTTATCACTAATAACTTGTGAAGTTGTATCTGTTAACTTATCCGGCGGGCGTTGTGCAGCAGCAGCAGCAGCAGCAGCACTTTCAAAAGATACCTGTATATTTATATTTACCCATACACCCTCAACACCAACACACAAACGAAGATATCAAAAATCTTGGTGTATTACTTCCAATCGAAGTATCAAAACGATCGATAGATAGTCCATGTGGGAGTCGAGCTGAAAACCGCTGGTACTCAGTACTGTAGAGCACATGTGCAGGTCACTTAGTGACCTAAGCCACTACCACTAAAGTACGGACCGAGAGGCACGCCAACAGAATTGGAACCTAACCTTACCGCGGTCCGTGGATTCTTGAGGGACTAGCAATGGATGAGGTTCCACAGCTGACTTGAGCACCGGATGGAATGCCAGCCAATCAATAATGGACCACTTCAACCTCATCCCATCCTCTTCCGGCAATACTTTCGACCAATCCTAACCTTCACCATTAGTGTGGCTGCGCCCCACTTCGAGCTGTGAGACTGTAGGCACTGTACCTACTTACTCAGTAGAAGTACAGTACGTGGTCATACTCATGTAGGCAGAGAGGGAGATCATGGATAGCTTTGCTACCTTACCGTTGGAGGAATTGGTCTATCTGCCTTCTAAACTAGGTACCTTCTTAGTACGGACTACAGAGTACTGTACTAACCTAGTAAATGCACTGCACTTCACTTCAGACTTCACTTCAATGTTGGGAAGTTACAGTAGTTGTGTTGCTATAGCATGTTCTCCCACCGCCCCTCTCAATCCCCCCCCCCCCCCCAAACTGCACACCCCGGCCTTCGAGCGGATGAAGCTCCTGTCGAAACCGCACCCGATGCAACCGACCTTCGACTGGGAGACGCCGTCGGCGAGCCTAACGGCCAAGCTGCGGATGGTGGAGCTGCCGCACGACGCGACCCTTCCGGAAGACGAGCAGGCGATCTTTGTGGCGGACGACATGTGGGTGCCGATCGCGATCGTGAACGGCAACGTGCACATCCTGCCGGGGGTGCCGCGGCTGTTCGAGCGGCTGCTGGAGCACCTGAAGCCGGCGCTGCTGCCGCGGCTGGTCAACCCGGAGGAAGGCACGGGCATCTACCGGTACCTGTTCAGCACCCCGTTGCCCGAGAGCACCGTGGCCGGGTATCTGACCGAGCTGGCCGCGCGCGTCGCCGACCGCGGCGTCAAGGTCGGCAGCTACCCGCGCTGGGGCAACAAGCGCAACACCGTCACGCTGGTCGGCGCCGACAAGGCGCTGCTGGACGCGCTGATCCCGGAGGTCGAGCGCGAGGTCCAGGGCAAGAAGGTCCTCCGCGAGGATGAGTTGGATCCGCCCTCCGATGCTGAGGAGGAGAAGTGAAGGGCATTTGAACGCAAAGACTAGAAAGCGTCTCAACAAACCTATAGCTAGAATCCTGGGGGTGGATAGATGAATCAACCACATCCGAATCCAGTTTGCCGCGAAGGCTCCGCCGGGTCTGTCCGCTGTGACATATCTCCTATCCAGTAGACAATGGTACAAGCCAACTTTGACCGGAATCTCGAGTGAACGAGGCGGAGACACTCTTGAAACAGTCGCCTCGTTCGGTCACAGACGCAACAGTGACCAAAATTGAGAACCCCATCAGTCTGCCAAGCTGGAAGACAGGGAGTCTACACTATACCTTGAACGTGCACATCCCGAAAGCAAAGGCAAAGACGACCATGGACTTGTTCCGTCACTCAACCAAAGACACAGGCACATACCGTATAGGCTTAAGAAAGAGAGCCGTATGGCTAAGACACCAAGCAGAACGTAAGATTCAGGCAGTATTCATTCCTAACAGACTTTGAAGGGCCTCATGCCCCGTATTCCCCCCGTACAACACCGTCTCCGAGGGAAAGGGAAAAAAGATGTACACAAAAAGATATGGCGAATGCGTGGGAAGTGGTCCCCATGGGTGGACGGGGAAAAAACATCGGAGCAAACTAAGCATTAAGTTGTTGAAATGAGGTCGAGGTCGAGATGCCTGACAACGAGAGGCACGCAGAAGCATGGATGGGAAACGAGCGACGGAAAAATAGGGAGACAGCCCTGGAAAGCCAACAATAGAACACAATGCTAGCGATAGCAATTGCATATACCTAGATGAAATGCACAAGATCTAGCGACAGCTCCTTCTCCCACCCCCTCTCCCCATCCTTTCCAAGATCGAAATATCGTTAAAAAAGAATAGAACCCAGATTGAAACAAGTGGCCAATCTTGCAAATGAGATAAGAAGTGATAAATAATCAAGAAAGAGAGAAAAAAAAAAGAACAGAGAAACAGAAGGGGAATCGAACGTTCATGGAGAGGATGGCGGCATGAGGGCGGGAGCAGTCATCATCGGGGCGACGAGCCTCATCTGGTATAATAGGACCGTCCAAACGCGTCGACAAGCCACATTCCGCATCACGATGGTGGGTATCGCTGATCTCGCTTCCTGCCGAGGTATAATATTTTGTTTCCTTCCGAATCTCGACATGTGTGTATCCTTTTCAATCCAACGCCTGTTCATTACATTATAATACATTTACAGCACCCTTCACTCTCGCCAGGCTCGCTGACGTCCATCTTGCCCTCGGGGGCGCGGGAGCCGAAGCCGCCCGCCCCGGACGGGTACGATGACATCTCCTTGTTGTACCGACGGATTTCGCGCACAAGGTCGTAGAAAGCGTTCTCCACGTTGATGCGAGACTTGGCGGAGGTTTCGATGAATTTGCAGCCGAACTGTCGTGCTAGCGCCTCGCCCTCTGGAAATGAAGAAAATCGCTCGTCAGTTTGTGTCGCAATGAATCACCCTGGACTTGATAACCCACCTTCTTCTGTGACGGCCCTCTCCTTCTCCAAATCGCACTTGTTTCCGACAACGATGATGGGGAAGTAGTCCTTGTCCTTGACGCGTAGGATCTGCTGTTGGAACGTCATGATTTCTTCGAATGATTGACGCGATGTTATCGAGTAGACGAGAAGGAAACCTTCGCCGGTCCGCATGTATTGTTCGCGCATCGCCGAGTATTCCTCCTGGCCGGCAGTATCTAGAACATCCAACAAAGCGACCTCATCGTCAATGACGCACTGCTTGCGGTACGAATCTGTGGCAAGGGAAAGGCTAGGTTAGCTGCGCGATCGATCGGCGACGGCCAAGCATGGTTGCTGCTCACCCTCAATCGTCGGATCATATTCGTCCACGAAGTGACTCTGAATCAATTGAATGGTCAAGCAAGACTTTCCGACACCACCACCACCGACAACAACTAGCTTATATTCTCTAAGAAACTGAGGGCAATTGTAAGCATATGCCGTGATGGCGCTGCGCTGCTGCAGGTTCGACGGCGAGGTAGTAAATCGGGGAATAGGAGGCGGGAAGGAAAGGGAGACCAGAGACGGGAAACTCAGAACGCGGGCGAAAGGCGTACCTTTGAAGCCATCCTGGTAGGCTTTGTTCTGAATTATGCTGGGATATGGGGGGGGAAGGAAGGGGGAAAGAGAAACGGTGATCGTAGCTATCCCAACAGGAGCTGTGACAAGCGGGTCGAAGGAGCAAGCAACAACACAATTTTCTTTGCCAAAGGGTCAAAAGGTCGGGCCCAGGTCGTTGGGAGTTTTGCGCAGAGTGATGGCGCCTAAAGGGCAGTCCACAGCAACGGCGGGTCTAGTGAACAGGCCAAGCTTAAAGAAGCAGACTGGGGGGGGGAGGGAGGGGAGGAAAGAGGGTCGATAGGAGGGGAGGGATGTGCCGTGTAGTGTGTGGGAGAGAGGATCAGGGGGGGAGGGGGGTGTGGTTCGTGGAACTTTGCAGCGGGCGTAATTGAAGATGGACCAGCAGGTGGTTTCCCAGGAAAGCTGCAATTCGTCTGATTCTAAACCGTCTATGGAAACAAAAGTCAATAAGAAGAGCTTCGAGAAGTTCTTTCGAGTGGATTCTAGGAGGTCAAGAGAAAGGGAGGAGAGGAAAGATAGGGTGGAGAGATTGAGAGGGGAAAGGGGAGAAAGACAGAGCCCGAGAAGGAAGGCGATGATTAAGGAGCGGTTAGTTAGAGAGGAAAAAGAGTGGGGATGGCAGGGAAGGACAAGCCCAGACAGAAGGAGTCTAGATAGTGAACTGACTACGACTAGTATACCTACTAGTAGAGTAGGAATCGAGGAAGTGAGAAAGAGCAATTAACGGAGAAAGATAGTTAATCATCATCATCATATCATCTCCGACCAAGTACGGAGTAGATTAGTTACCTAAGGTTGAGATCTGAAAAGGATAACTGTAGCGACCGGGAGAACAGAAGGCGATTGACCCTATTCCAAGTCAATCACTACTACTACTACTACTACTACTACTACTACTACTAGGACATCGGACTCTACACTAACTAACTAGACGATTAGAAGAAATTGGAAATGAGGTTGCTGCTGATTGGGGTAAGTTGTAGAATAATTATCGCATCCTCCCTTCAATAATAACACTTAAGAAAGGGGGGAAGGAAGAAGAACGAGCGAGGAAGAGGCTGCAGTGGATGGGTGGGTGTGGCATTAACCGGGGACGCGTGTGGTTCAATCCAGCCCAGCCAAGACGGTGTTTAATTATCACTTGATCGGTCGATTGGTCCACTGCGAATAATTACTCTCTGTCGCCATCATTGCATCCTAACTGCCTTTCGTCATTGTTAACAGATTGACAATAAGAAAAAAGAAAAGGACAAGAAAAAAAAAAGGAAAGAGCTTAAACATACTCAGCTCAACTACTCCGTACAATTCAAGACCATTTCCTCGTCATTGCTCGAGATCTCCCGTTTACATGGTAAATTGTCAAAGATAAAGCTCGAAATCACAGTCCGTGATTGGAAAGAAGAGAAACAGGACAGCCGATCGCAAGTGGAGGCGAAAGGCAAGGCAAGAAAATTAGGGCCGTGGGCAGACTCTGCAAAGAACCTCAATTGGTGGCATGGTACGAAGGAGTGGTCCAAGGAGCCTGGAGGGAAAAAGGGGTTGCCGATTCAGTCACATCACAATCTCTATCCATTGAACGGAAGCTAAATACCGTAAACCCTCGCCTTGCTGCAATAACACCGAATAATAAGAACTTGACCGAGGACGGAGACTACTACCGTTCTATCTCGCTCCTGAAGGTTGCCAGCCTCTGATGATGCCACAAACCGCCGTGTGTCCTTGATCCAAAGACTTTTTGTCCATCTCAAGACTGGCCATAGATTAATCTCACCAGTTCCACCTCTTAGCGCCGGTCGATAAAAGGTTCTACACACTAAATCGTCCTGAGGGCCCCATCGGGGCTCCCCTGAGGGTCTCCAACCACTTTACTCAATGCCTTTCATCAACCTCGCTATGCGCAACTCGGAAAACAAAGGGATAGCTTTCAATCTCCACAGCCAATCATGCTGCTGTCAGCTGGAGCAATTGTGACCCTCCTGGTGTCTGCGTCCCGCTCCGACTCCTCCGTTGAGCTCCTCTCGCGCAGGGTGCAAGGGCTGCAAGTCAAGTCAGACTCGGATATCCCCCGTTCCAACTGAGTCAGTTGGTTCGTTGTGGTGATTGATGATGACGATGAAGGCCGCACACCGTTGTCGGAGAAACAATATGTCTTTGGAAAGCAGTGGCCTTCAAAAACTCATTCTAGAAGCAATGTCGGCTCGACGGAATGACAGGCACTGCAATTGACAGCTCCATCCAGACGCGTAGGCTTACATCATAGGCATGGGTGTTGAGTTTGCCGGCTTCCTGAAAGGTCTTGGCACCATCTCCAATACAACTCTACTCAGTACTCTACAGTGTCACAGTGACACTGACAGTCTGGGCAGAGCCTCAGGCCGTGGGTGAGGGGAGAGCTCATGTTTCTCCACACCTCCACTTGTCAGCTCACATTCATGGAAACATCTCACCATATGCATCGGCTGGTAAGTACTGTACAGAATCTCGGTAGCCTCGGAACCCACCCCTGGATGATAGAGGGCCAACAACCCTGGTTCCCTTCAATGCTATCGATGCCGTCATAACAGAACGTCCTAGATCAGAGCGCTTCCAGTAGATGCCGGTGGCATTGAATCTTGCCCTATGTCTAACTTAGTAGTCAAACTATTATCCCCAGTTTGCCATCACAAATGTCTTGGCCTGCACTCACCTTGGTACATACATGCACAGACAATATGTGCAGTACAAGTTTATCCGGACTATCTTCCGGCCTTCCCCGCGCAGTGATATATACATCAACTCGCTATCCTATAAGATGCATGATCCGAGGATTTACCAGTCACACTTCAACCATGTGCCGCGAACGTCAATCAATCAATCACCCAAATTAGCTTTCTGGAGCACACCTTCCCTCCTCAGTCTCCTGCTTGGCGTCGATGTGCGTGGCTATAGAGAACAAACCAACCCATTGGAATGCAGACCGAACTCTCCGACCACAGGCCTCTCTTTTGGTGTTCATCCACTCACCGCAACATCCACCGGCTTTTCCCCGTTCACCTGCAACATCACCGGCGCTTAGCAACTGCTTATCATCCTGTCTTTCAGGTTCCGTCGCATCGCTTCGGGCATGACTCAGTATCCATGGAAATGGGGCCCCGCGCGTTCGCAACGACCAGTACGAGTGGCATCGACCACGGTCGCGACCAGTCCTGACGGCACAGAAGGGCGATATGACAGTAGGAACATATCACCACCAGCGATCCGCCCAACGATACCTATACATCGACACAAGAATAGACCCGCAATCCCATGATACCTAACATCCTATTCCATATACTTCAGACCAGCGAAAGTCTAACAACCTTCCAACTCCCCTAGCAGAACCTATCAATATGACATTGACCTTGACATTGACTTCGCAACAAACCCAACTCCAAAAACGACCAACAACACCAACGATCACCTTGTCGTCCGTCCCTCCCACTATACTTAGTATCATCCCGCCCGGCTCTGCTGTACCTGTATGCACAGGACCCCAACGATCGACAAGATAGCCCCAAACCCGCCCCCCCCCCCAGAAAGCAAAAACGTCTCAAGCACAATGGCAAAACAGATCAAAATAAAATCACAGACCGGACTAGCGGTTCACGGCACAGTAGTTACACAGCAGGTCTAGACCGCCATTTTCTCTTGATGGCTCGGTCCAGGCAATAATTGCTTCTGCTGTCTTTGCGTCTTGGCTCCCATGTCATATGCAGGGGAAAAAATCAAACTGGGCGGAGCCTGGAGCTGAGGCTTAGGGAGGCGCGGGGAAAGCCGATGAACTGACATGTCAATGCTTCTGGATATGTCTGTTTTGGGTGGCCGGTTGTGGACATCGGCTCTGGATACATGGGTTTCCTGTGACGCAATTGGGGTTGGTTGACCTGGGGTTTAGTTTATGAGGTCATTTGGGGACGGATCTGGAGAGCGAGAAGGCGGGGGATGAAGGTTGATATTCTGGCTTTATTCCGATTTGATATGTCTTTCTTTTTTGTTCTTGTTGGTGAGAGGTTGCTGAGCATCATACTCTTAGCATATGGTAAGTATATGCATCAACCGAGATTCGGAGATTCGTCTATTCTCCTCTCGTCGGTTGGAAAGCATGTATAGATGCAGCAGAGGAGAGAAGGAATCGAAATGATTAGGCTTAAAGTTCAAGCGCTGCTTGATTACCATCTAGAGAGCGGGTCGAGTGATTTTTTCCTTCTTCCTCGATGTGATTGTCAATCTAGAAATACAAACCACCTGCATTTGTCAAATATTGGTTCCAAGTTGCAAGCCCAAAAAATCTACGGAGTGGTCCACCACTGGACCTCGGCCCTGCTTTGGGGGATTATGTGGATGCGGAGAATGACCGGTCAACAGGCAAATTCATACACCCAGAACAAGGTCGATACACAGCACATAGACTACCTAGTACTTCTTAGCTAAGCTGGAGGACGGTTCATGGTGATTGTAGATCAAATAGCCGTTTTCTATCGTGTCGAGAGTGTGGCAGGTATCCTGTCTTTATATACTTCAATTCTATCCATCATGCATATCATTAAGCCTTGCGGTGCATGATACCCGGAGAAGCCTGGTAAATTATGCGTCAGCGCTTGTCATCTGGGTCCCCAAGTTCTATGAACTTACCTGGTGGCTGGGGAAGATCAGCGTATCCGCGATCACAACGTTCTCGCGCCGACCAGCGGCAAACACAACAACTTCAGCGATGTCATCGGGGGTAAGGGGTTCACAGCCACTGCAACAGGACACATTAGTACGTCCTTGATCTGCGCTGTGCAAAGAATCTGCAGCGGGGTATATCATACGCGTAGACTGCATCGGCCTTCTCCTTGTCACCGTAGAATCGCACCACGGAGAACTCCTGTACAGCACAAACAACTATCAGTAAGATTCTCAACGGAAGACCGCAACAAAACTCCCAACCAGACGGACTCACAGTCTCCACCTGACCGGGGTCAATCTCGATGATGCGGATTCTCGTCGCAATCAGCTCCTTGCGCAATGCGTCGGTGAAGGACCGGACGGCCGCCTTCGTGGCACAGTAGATGCTTCCACCGGGATACGGTTCGCGGCCGGCAATGCTACCGATGTTGATGATGTCGCCGCGCCCGCCGTCGGATCTCTTCTGGAAGATGGGGAGAATGGCCTGGGTCATGTTGATCAATCCGGTTACGTTGGTCGAGAACATGACGTCGACATCCTGGGCGTCGATCTCGGGGGCCTTGGCGACACCCTTGACAAGGCCACTGATTCTTGCGTGTCAGCAGAGCTTCTGTCTCATTTCTTCCCCAAGTCATAACTGCGACAAGGGCGAATCTCGCTCAGGGAGAGGGGCGTTACGTCGACTCACGCATTGTTCACAAGCACATCGATCTCCTGGAACTCGGCGGGCAAAGATGGCACGAAACTTTTGATCTCCTCGGGATTGCTGACATCCAACTGCACGGGAAGGACCTTGACACCCTCACCGACCTCCTCCTTGATCTCCTGGGCGAGCTGCTTCAAAGAGTCGATGCGACGGGCCGTCACGATCAGCTTCAGGTCCTTGGGCGCGGTGCGCGCAAACTCCTTGGCCGTGCTGCGGCCGATACCGGACGAGGCACCGGTGACCACGATGGTCTTGCCCTCAAGGCGCTTTGCCATTGCGGAGGCCATTGTGCGTCTGATGAAAGTGGGTTGGATCGCAGATTGAAACGGGGTTGATCGGGTAAGTGGGGTGAATGCGGAGATGTTCCCGGGGGAGGTCGTCAAGGGAAGATGTCGCAGGGATCTGGTCGAGGTGAGAAGAGCTCGAAGCAGGCGCATAAGGCGGGGCTGAAGATTAAGACTTTCAACAAATGAGTCAGAAGGATGACGAGAGATAAGGGGGGGGGCTCAGTGGGCTTTAAATGGAATCGAAGACGGCCGAACGTCGGCGTTGCGTGCGGGGGAATCCGTCTTTCGTGATTTCGGCGGGGCCCTTTTTTTTTGGCCGGCTGAAGGTCGCCCCGATACATCGGAGTTCCTTCCCCAATATTTACCCTGCTGCATCGCATACAACGCTGCCGACACGAAAGTCTGCTTGCTGTCTGTCAAGATGATGGCCATCGCGCGACAAAACAAAGCCATTATGATCTAATAGCACTCATGATCTCTTTGTCATTTCAGATCCCAGCCTACCACGTGGATATAGTACAAAGACACACAACTTGAATGTCGGACTTGTTTAACTCCGGAGTTCTTCCTCGTGCCTTGCATGATATCATGACCAAGCAGTACTTGAGATGAGCCCATGGCATTGCGATCTGGTCCATTTCAATGCACTTGTACTGCCACAATTCGGGATCGGATCTAACAACCTACTATCTACCAGCGTTAGCACTGATATGTGGTGCAGAAACAGCAACGATCGGAATGTACCACTATCTCAGCAATGCCTTCGACGTTTCTCGATTCTAAAGAAATCCTCGGCACAATAACGGCGAACGCGAACAGATCGTAATTCAAAAGAGCGTCGGAACAATTTGTTGCACACGATCGGTCTATGCGGCTGTCCAGGTTTCTGCTTTTTTGCTACATCAAGGAGGAAACGAAATGGCGGCGTCAGCCATGACATAGTAATGACCTGTTCTTAATGACAACTACCTTTCCGCAGTTTGGTTCCAGAGACCACTTTTGTCTTTGTTTGACTCATAACAGAAGCCCGAAGCCTGGTTATAAATATTCTAACGGTGAATACTTCGAGTGCGGCGAAGAGTTAGACGTTTCAGCGTCGGATCGCTAACATGGATTCTCATGATATCAACCTCAGAACCAGGAACGTGAGTGCTATGATGTCTGGTAACCATACTACGAGCTTCACTGAACTAGAGGAGACCTACAGGAAGCTCCTCGAGCCGGGATCGGCATTCAACTGGATGGATGAATCTTCGGATACCGAGATGAATTCGAGAGACGAGATAAGCTCTACCAGTTCGACAGAGACACTAACAGTGTCGGACGAAGTGCTAATGCATGATTTTGATGACATGGAGTTTGACAAGCCCTGTGCCAGTGAGAGAGAAGAGGTATCTGCTGGCTCCAACATGGGCTGGACTACAACCGAGGGGAGCGAGTCAGGCAATAGGAACCACGCTATTCAAAGGGCTTACCGCAATCTCGGCTACAACATCAGCAATTTTCACCAAAGCCAGAGACTAGATCTCGATGGTCGTGGCACGGAGCTTGAAGAAGCAGCAGCGCGTAGTGACTATCAGGGATTGGCCCCGTCAATGGCCTCTAGCGAGGACGAGGAGAGCGCCGAGGTAAGGCTCATCAGGGTCGAGATCGACCGTGAATTCAACGCTCGCGACGCCTACCTGGACGAAGTAGACGAGTCCGAGTCAGTCCACCACTTCAATTGGCTTGGGAATCCCGTCCCACAAGAAAGCCGCACACCACCGGTGATCTCACTCTTCTTCCAGCTAACCGATCCGAAGGTCCCCAGAGCGGGAGACGAGCTCCGCCTCAAAGCCCTGTTGAAGAATGCTATGGTCTACATAGACCCAGTAGTCGTTGACCTCGAAAACAGAGGACAGAGACTCCCAGGAACGATCGCTGACTTCGTCGAATGGGCATCCAAGCTCACCTTCAGGTACTACAGCCCACACGGTTGGTGGCGCAATGATCCCAGGATAACCGAGGATGAATGTCTGCAAGATCCCGGCAACCCTTACGACTATGTGCTTGAGGACTTCGGTGTAGGCACTGGCTTCGTGCAAGAAAACAAATTCCCATCGTCCCAGGACTGGTTCGAGAGGCAACAATCGCGGCTCGTCGAGCTCGAACAGACGGATCTGAACCGGCACTACAAGAAGGATAAAAAGAAGGTTTTCACACCCTCACCCCTTCGGGAGTCAACTACTTGTGAGCCTGATGAAGCACCTCCCCTAATCACCGGCTCGGCGGACAACTCGCTCGAGAGCTTCCCGACTCGGATGAGGATTATGAGCGATGTGCCGCAGAGCGGTGCTAAAACTTGCCTGCAACAAGATCCGCACATCCCGGACCTTTACACCTTGACCTTGCAAGGAGAGTTGTCAGAGGGGCCGGAGCAGTCCAGTCTCGGGGACAATTAGACTTTGACCTGATTGTAGAAAAAGCGGATGCCAAACGTAGAAGTTATAGTCATACCAGAAATGAAATAAAAAAAAAAGTGTAAATGTTAAAGTGCCATGTGCCTCTTCGTCAATGTAAGAAAATTCAATCCGCCGAAGATAGAATGTGTAGATCATTGCCTTGTATCGTTATGACCTGGCAGATATGTACTGAGTAATTGTTGTTGCGATTGTTGTTGTTGTTCCACAGCCCGTGGATCGTCAGGGATAAACATCGCATGCTGTCCCTCGGCAGGCAAACCGTTTCGTCTCCCCCCCTTCCCCCTTCTGTCACTGTTTCTTCCCTTCCTCCGGCCAACGATCATCGCCCACATTTGACAGTAGCCCCAGAGCCTGAATATCTTCTGCCAATGACGACTGGTTCATGGGGTGAGAACGGTTCGGTGAGCCCAGCGGCTTGACTGAGGTGACATAATTGACACCGACCGGGCCATGCCAAAACCGCCCCCGATGCGACGATCCTCGAGTCGAGTTTCCCTTAAGCACAATGCAGCGCAAGGCCGTCAACGCCACCACTGACCACCGTACTTGGGGTCAAATCAGTTCAAGGGCTCAAGTGATTTTGTCAAGACGAAGCTAAGAACACTGTGCCAGCCATTCAGCGAACATCAAATGCCCCCCAAAAACTACAAATGCACGAGTCAGCGAATTTAGTGGGAGCCTACGTTTATTTATCCCATGGCGCTCAATAATTTATGCAACACCATTCAACCAACTCTACTGACCAGACTAGACTAGAACCTCGGCGAACCATGAAGCCGTTATCCTCATTGGACAGTGATGGGGTTCTGAAAAGCCTTATTCCAAGCCATGTACATCATTTGCCAAGTCCTGACAATGGGCGTTCATACCAGCTGGGTGGTAGTGCAATCCTTCGCCGTCTTTAGCAATGATAGCGCCGCGCTATCGACGCCTCTTCCCCCTCTTTCTCTCCTGGGACCTGCATCTGAGGCCCCATTGTTTATTGATGATCACCGCCGAATCCTTGCGTCCCAGCGTTCCGGGAAACCCCCCCCCCCCCCCAAAGCACTCGGAACAGGACAGTAATGTTGTATCCCGACAGCGGATGCTAGGTCGTTTCCCCAGAAATGATGTATGTCATCTTCTGGAAATCCGACCAGGAGAAGCAATTCTTTCACGAACGTGGTAGATGTGCTGGGGCCGCACGAGACGGTTTCTCGCCCACGTGTGGTGGCGGACCCTTGATCCTGCAGAATCGAGCATTCCAAGAATTGTTGTTTCCTCATCTCCTGATATGGAGTTTGACCTACTACGAAGAAGTTACCCAGACCTTTCACAGTAACGAAGGCTGCTGCTTACAGTCATGCTGTTTTCTCTTGCCGCAGTCGTACTGGTTTACAGTTTTCCAACGGCCGAATAAGTCCTCGACCTCGACCTGAAGGCACAAGAAATGTGGTCAGGCCCCAGGACCTTAGATGAATCAGGAAACACTAGGTCCCATATGATCGACATCTATGACTTGCTTCCGGTCCACAGTTCTAACGCCCCTCGACACACAATCGTCCTCCGCCCCTCTTCTGATACAAACGTAGACACTGGATTTAGCTGCGGCCTAAGTAGGCCAGGAACTGGAATCGAACGAGGACCTGCAGAGTAAATCGCGCGCGGACACACAGTCTATCGAGGTTTGCAGATGAAGGTTCACACCATCTGCCGATCAGCCACTGGAGAGGAATGACCTCCTGCCCTGGCAGAAATTCCCCGGATGGTCGCAAGCCACGGGGAAAAAGAACTATGATTTATCAGCGTCTAGAGCAGTATTGTCCTAAAAAGGTTATTGCTGTCGAAGATCGCGGCCATTTCGGACACTAAAGGCAACGTGCTCCACTGTGGTGACAACTGGCGCCTATCATAAACCAAATGTGTCCAGAGGACGAGTGCTCCTCAAAGCACCGCACAGATACTGCCATCACAATCGGCAATGGTTCGCCAACTTCTCGGTCGGTCTTGGATAGACCCGGTACATAGCATTGTTGTTGATAAGCAAGAATTATCAGCCATGTTGGCCGGACTAGACCCTTCTTATGGTTGAGGTTCAAGCAGAGTTCAGGGACTCTCGTATCGAAAAGGAAAATGAAAAATCGCCACTCGTCAAATACTCCACCTCGAAGATTTTTGACTGGTCATAATTTGGAAGACCAAGTCTGACCACGAGCAGGTGCAGGCGCACGATCATACCACTTTAGCCTGCAGCAGGAGAAAACTCTCTTGCCAGGCGTGCTAAATCCACACCAGCGCGATCGGGTATTATGATTCGTGCCGCGATCTGAGACCAGGCACATGAATCATGCACTAACTCTCAGAGCAAGGATAGTATGGAAGACTTGCTTAAGGTGTAACAGAGAAATTATCGATCACCGACTAATCTTGCATTTGAGATTGCGCGAGGGATTGACCTGAGATTCGTTCGGACTGACGGTCGTATACTCAACATATCGACATTCAATTTGAAACGAGCATAATCATCAGATTCTTTCTCGCTGTGGAGCGGAGACTGACCTCTCAGGTACACTTTCTGTTGACCGCACAACACTTGCCGAGCAGCACTAAACCGCACAGGGTAGTTATACAAGAGTCGAGTAAGACTACGGCGGCGTTCCATGGATCGAAGCCCGGAACGAGGCACCAGTTGACAGGGCGAAGGTGCCAGAGAGCCATCGATTCTGGGTCTGCTGCTAAATACGCATTGCCTTTGACTAATTTTCTCTGCGAACCTCGTGCCTTCCTCCACCTTGCCCACGACACCGGTGGAGCCCGACGGCTTAGTCGCATAGATCATTACTACAATCTGAATGGCACCCCCCTCAGCTCCTAACCACATCCCGGACAAGACCGAGCTCAGGTCGCTCACTCGACAAGGAACCATGCTGCCCATCAGCCCTCTTTCAGCTTCTCTTACGCTATTGAGTACTATCAAACTTTGAGCCAGTGCGGGGATCGTCTCCATAAACCCAGTAGAAAAGGAACTGTACAAATAAAAGCCATGTCGTTACCGCACCGGTTCCTTGCAACTAAACTCTACTGCAGACGCTTCGACCAACCCACCCACTCTCTTTTAACCCCATCGATCTCCAATTGAACCCATGCGGTTTATCTCATCTTGATATCTAGGTTGCGAAACCTGGAGAGGCTTCCTACTTCACCTCGTTGGACTTTCAGCAAACGGACGGCTAAGCCATCGATATCCCAGAAAAACGCTCTTTCTTTACAGCCTACACCCCCACGGCCCTACCTACTAGATTCATTCCCTCCAACCACAACAACACCAAAATCAGCATGGACATCATCAGAGAACATCTATTTCCAAGGATATCAGGAGATGGCGCAGAACGTGGCCAGCGAGCACTGGTGGTGACAGCCGTGCTCACCGGCTTCTCGGTCGTTATTGTCGCTATGCGGATGTACGCGCGTCTCGGTCTGATGAAACTGAAGGGTCGCGAGGATTACATGATTCTCATATCTCTGGTATGCCTCTAGAGATGATGTAATCGGAGTGTCGAGATGTACTGACATGTAACGGGCAGATACTGGCGTGTACATACCTTGGCCTGGTTGGTGCTGGTAAGACCTCGGAGCTTGTCACACCGAGCGAATCACATCTAAAATACTACAGAGGTACATTTTGGACTTGGAATACACTCTTCCCAGCTTCCAGATCGTGTTCTAAAGGAGCAGCTGAAGGTAATATTCTTAAGGCATGCCACCTGCAGACAGAACTAATCACTGACAATTGGTTTCATAGCGACTATGGGCTGCGATTCCGTTCTATAACGCCAGTCTGATCTTCACCAAGTTCTCTATTCTTTTCCAATACTTGCGGATCTTCCCCGACCGCCGTTTTCGACTGGCCTGTTACGTTGTGCTAGGCATCGTGGCTACCTACGGAACGTGGGCGGTCGTCAGCGGCTTCTTGAACTGCGTCCCGGTCTCCAGGTTCTGGGATCGCACGGTCTCGGGATACTGTCTCAATTTCGAAGCGGTCTGGTTCTTCAACGCCTCTATGAACATCGCCACCGACGTGACGTTGCTGGTGTTGCCGATGCCTCTTTTGTCGCAACTACAGCTTCCGCGAGCGCAGAAGTTCGCGCTCATGGGTGTTTTCGCTATCGGTGGACTGTACGTGTCTTCCAAATTCCCAGTCCAGCTTTGCGTTGTTGCTAACTCATTGATAGAGTCGTTATCACTAGTATCCTGCGTCTCTCCTCGTTGCGTTCTGTCGCCCAGAACAGTGACACTTCTTGTGAGTAGTGGCCGATTATCGACCTGGCATCACTTACTTTACATGCTGACACCCATCGTCAATCAGGGAGCAACGTCGGCGCCGCCTACTGGACCGCCGCAGAATGCAACGTCGCCATCATCTGCTCGTGCCTGCCCTTCCTCCGCCCCATCGTCAGCCGCCTCTTCCCCAAGTTCCTGTCCACCAACAGCTACAACCGCTACACGCGCAATCCCACCGTGTCTGTCAGCCGCATGACCGCCACCCGCATGACCGCGCAGTCCCACCGCCACAAGGTCGAGCTTTACTCCCAGGACCGCGACTACGACATGTACACCATCGACGTCAAGTCCGGCGCGGCCAGCCATGTCGGCGCAGCCGGAGGTGCCTTTGGCGGCATCGAAGTCCGGACGGAGATGATCCAGGAGTCGTCGCACCACGGCGAATCCACCAGTCAGCGCCGATTGGTGGTGGACGTATAACGATCTATGCTTTACTATCACTTTCGCTTATTGTAACGATTTTTTACTGACATTACGGTCTTCGAGTCTCTTATCTTCGGACCCTACCTACCCCATCACTTTTCTTTTTGGCTCTCATATACCCCCGTGCTTTTTCTTTTTATTTATCTGTGGCGGTCAGCCGCGCTGAGATATCGTGCATATTGCTGAAAGCATGGACGGCTAATCACTAATGAAATATCATGACCTATTTTACCAAT